AACTATTTGGTGCCTTTCATCACAGATGAATCAAAGCGCTCTCCACCTCTCCTTGCAGTGGGGGAAAGGAATACTGGCATGAAATTTGTGGTCTCGGTTGCTGATCCCCCTCCTGCTACTGTTGCTTCTCCCCCCAGTTCCTGACGGTCCCCTGATTCCCCCACAGGTCGGGGGTGACAAAGTCTAAGACAGGGATTTCCAAACTTAGCCACTTTAAGATGTGTGGACTTCAACTGCTGGCTGAGGAATTCTGGGAGTTGAAGTCCACACATCTTATAGTGGCCAAGTTTGGAAAACACTGGTCTAAGAGATGTTGCACCCCGTAAGGCTGTCCTTGGAAATGGTGTAATGGTCACCATTACAGTTTCAGACATCATTACAGCAAAGGTTGATTTCAGGCCATCTCACTCTTGAGCTGGGGATGAGATGAAGGTAACGTTGGAGGGACAGGGTGGGCCAGAGAGGCTTGCATTGTGGTTGAAATGCTGTGGGGAAAGGCTCTTGGACTTGGGAGAATCCCCAGTTTGCCAACTGGGGGCAACCTCCAGTATGACGTAGCAGTTAAGGTGTTGAATCAGGAGCAGAGGAATCTTAACTTCACCTCCACTCTTAGCTATGGAGACTCTTGGGTGACTTTGAGCTAGTCACCACCTCTCCACCCAGCCTACCTCACAGAAGTGTTGGAGAAGGGCTATGTAGGTTGCCTTAAGCTTCTAGAGAAAAGTTGGGTATTTCTTTATTAGATGAAGAAATAAATTGTCCTCTCCCCACATTTTGTGACGTTAAGGCTGGAGGTTCTTCCACAGAGCAGGAGGACACTCAGAACTTCAGCTCTCTTCCCTCTCTTCTCTAGACCTATTCGGGGCTGTTCTGTGTGACGGTAAACCCCTACAAGTGGTTGCCCGTCTACAACGCTGAAGTGGTTGCTGCTTATCGAGGGAAGAAGCGCAGTGAAGCTCCTCCTCACATTTTCTCCATCTCTGACAATGCCTATCAGTACATGTTGACAGGTAAAGGAGGAAGAGGGAGCCAGAGGGGAGGGAAGTTGGATGTCATGAGAGAAGAAAAGATGTTGAAGATTTAAGGAAGTCAAATGGTCCTTCTCCTTTTCCCTTCCTCCTCTTCCTCCTTGTGTATCTTCTCCTTCTCCTTCTCCTTCCTCCTCGTCCTCCTTCTCCTTCTTCTCTTCCTCCTCTTCGTCCTTCTCCTTCTATTCCTCTTCTCCTTGTCTATCTTCTTCTTCTTCTCTTCCTCCTCTTCCTCCTTACCCATCTTCTCCTTTTCTTCCTCCTGTTCTCCTTGTCTATCTTCTTCGCCTTCTTCTCCTACTTCTCTTCCTCCTCGTCCTCCTCGTCTATCTTCTCCTTCTCTTCCTCCTTTCCCTCCCCCCCTTGCTTTCATGTTTCTCACTTTCTTTTCTAATAATTTTTTCTCTTCTCTAGATCGGGAGAACCAGTCCATTCTTATCACGTAAGTCCCATTCCCTGCCTTGACCTTTCACAATACTCTTTACTTGGCTGACCATCCCATGGAGCTTGACTTCCACTTTGGCTTGGGGGGGCTCCTTCTCACGGTCAAATTAAAGCGCTCTCCATCAGTGCTTGACCTGTCAGAAAGCTATACAGGCATCAAATGTGTTTTCCCACTGGGGATCCCTATCCTTTTGCAGAAGCTATGCTGGAAAATGGTGCTGGGTTATTTACTATTAAGGACACATGGAAGACAGGGATGGGTTTTACTTACTGAAATTCTTCACCACCCAGAGTCACTTGGATTGAGATGGAAATTGCATAAATAAATAAATAAACAAACTTATTAAAACTCACTCAGATCTTCTGCAAGTGCTTTGTGAGGGTACATTCTAAGGGAACCCTGTTGTCAGCTGATAACCTTTTGGACATGGGTTTAGTGCTCTTCCAGAACAGCACTAAACCCATGTTCAAAAGCAACTAAACAGCAGAGAAAGAGATGTCTTGCTCGCTCCTGCTTCACTCACAGTCTATCCATCACCAGTGCTAGTCAGCTGCTGTTCAGCCTGATTCAGGTCACTGAATCAGGAGCCAGCTCAGAGATCTGGTGGGTGCAGGAAGAGCCTGTTGTGAAAAAAATGGGTTCTCATGCTGCGCAGATGAGAATGACCCTGGAAGACAGCTAAGGGACTGGAGGGAGGGGGTATGCATGTCCCTTTCTAGAGCAACCATTAGGTGCTGGGCTGGACAGTATCTCAAGCAAGTTTGATCTGGAACCCAAAAGGCTGCAATCTATATTTGTATACTCAAAACTTGTGTGTGTCTGAGTCTATACATATATGATAAAGGCAAAGTCTCCTTCAAGTCACGTTCAGCGCCTGATAATTTCATGGGCACGTTCGTGAAGTTTTCTTGGGAATAGTATGAAAGTGGCCCTTCCTAATTTTTTTTTTTAATTTCCCAGTCTCATCTACAGATCTGGGATCCTCTGGTGGTCTCCTATCCATGTACAAACCAGATCTGACCTAGCTTCTGATATCACCCGGGCTGACTAAATGTATATGTGTCCCAATGTACAAATATTTGGCCAACCATTCAAAAATCCATTCTGAGATTTCTATTTTGCTTATTTATACCCATATAAAAGCTGCTCCGTGAAATGGGCACAGTTCCAGGGCTGTGGCCTTCCATATTTTTCAGAATTCCCCCCCCCCAAGATAGAGATTCATCATATAATATTAAAAGAACAAAACGCGGGTCTGATTCTGGGGACCATCTATGAGTGCCTCTACAAAAAGACAGATGGGAAGAGAGCAAAAGTGAGGACATTAAGGCAGTCTTGTTTTTCTACCTGCAGCGGAGAATCTGGTGCTGGGAAAACTGTGAATACCAAGAGGGTCATTCAGTACTTTGCGGTAATTGCTGCTATTGGGGACCGTAGCAAGAAAGACCAGGCAGCTGCAACAGGGAAGGTAAGTATCGTGTATAGCAGTATTTTCCAAACTTGGCAGCTTTAAGAAGTGTGGACTTCAACTCCCAGAATTCCCCAGCCAACTGAGTTGAAGT